GCAAAAAAGAGAGTTTAAATCAAAGGAATGCAAAGTCGTATCTTTAATATTGATGTCCTCAAGAAGATCAACTATTTCAAATGTATCTTTTAACGAAAACTTACATAGATTTTGCGAATTGAGGTTAACAATTTTACTAACCATTTAGCTTGTTCATGTGTACGAGAACCACGCATAGATAGTTCGGTCGTAATGGATTATTAAGTTTATGAATTTTAGGCAATTCACATAAATACGCGAGAACAGAACCAGAAGGTTTTAGCAAATTAAACTCGTCTTTATACTTGACATTCATTTTAAGAAGCTTTAGGGGATCGGATTTTACTCTGAATTGTAAATTTCTAATATTAATATTCGATGGAACGTCGTGCAGGAACATCTCCTGATCAGCAAGTTTAGATAAATAATTTTCTTTATAGTCACATTTATAAATAACATCCATCCCTGAAACTTTGTCAGACCTGAGGATGACAATATCTGACCTGTTTTGCAGGATTCTTTAAGCGGTAAAATGTCTAAAAGTCAAAATATTCCTGTATTTGATTTGAGAACTGTGAAAGCGGTTGGCATTATCAACCAATTTCAACTTTAACCAATTTTGCTTATCTAGGCTGGTTTGAACAAGAGTGTTCAACTGATCATAGGGATTTTCGAATTGAGCATCTATCAATAGATCAGAAATCTTGACATGTGCAATGGAGCAATTAAATCCATGAGATAGGGCTTCTTCCTCAAATAATCACCAATTAACATGTTTGTGTGGATGCATAGACATACGGAGGAGGAGCAACGGAGCCATGCAATCAAGCATTATATTTAACATGTGCCTAGATGGCTTCAAAACCAATTAATGTCAAGTGGTCGAATTAACGCGCGCGAACGCGGTAATCTCCATGTTCGCTTTGGTGACTAGATTCGTGAGGAAATTCTTGGAGTTCTAGTGAGAAGTCGTGACCGGTGGAGCTAATCCGTGACAAGTAGAGACATGTATCTACCTCAGTACATTAAGAAATAATCGTGCACTTCCGTGGATTTGTTGAGGTTGGACATTAACACCGTCGAAGGCCAGCTCGGTGGTCCAGATGTTAAGCGTTCAGGGGCAAGACTGAATGCCCTGGTTTCAAATCCCGCGTGCGGGATCATGGATGCGGACTGCTCAGGAGTCCCAAAATACGACGAAACATCTGTTCAGTGATTCCAGGTTTCAATGGTGGTCATAGGCCATAAAATGACTCAAGGATTACCAAAATAAATTCTGGGTTACAACAAACTGTTCTTCTACGCATAAGGGAGATTTAAATTTACAAATAACAAAGGCTTCAATAAACCTGAGAATTCATCTTTGACAATTTCTATACAACGTTTTAAAAGCTGTATTATTGTCAATTTTGTGACGCGTTTCAATTATATGTATTGCTTTTGATGAACATGGTTTTCTACCTCCCAAGTCTGTCTCCCATAAACTGGCTGTCTTATAGAACCATCCTCCCTTCTACTCAAATGTCTGTCTGAAAAGAGCAACTGGCCATTATTTTCTGCTTCATAATTCATTACGATATCGTTTTGAACCCCATTAAGTTTATCTAATAACTGGGAAACCTCAAAATCTTTATCACATATAACTAGTATATCATCCATATATCTTCTATACAAAGTTTTCTCACTAAACAGCTTATTCTTCATATTTTCGACATACAACATAAATACATCGACTAAGAGAGACTCTAAAGGGCTACCCATAGCAACACCATCAACGTTTTGGAAATATTCGCCCTCAAACATGAACTGAACATTTGCAGTACATAATAAAAGTAGTTCTTTCAACAATGATGACCGAATAGGAAAAAAGGGAAAATTAGTAGATATATAGTCACAAAGGAAATACACATTCTCAATTAACGGTACATTCGCAAAAAAGAGAGTTTAAATCAAAGGAATGCAAAGTCGTATCTTTAATATTGATGTCCTCAAGAAGATCAACTATTTCAAATGTATCTTTTAACGAAAACTTACATAGATTTTGCGAATTGAGGTTAACAATTTTACTAACCATTTAGCTTGTTCATGTGTACGAGAACCACGCATAGATAGTTCGGTCGTAATGGATTATTAAGTTTATGAATTTTAGGCAATTCACATAAATACGCGAGAACAGAACCAGAAGGTTTTAGCAAATTAAACTCGTCTTTATACTTGACATTCATTTTAAGAAGCTTTAGGGGATCGGATTTTACTCTGAATTGTAAATTTCTAATATTAATATTCGATGGAACGTCGTGCAGGAACATCTCCTGATCAGCAAGTTTAGATAAATAATTTTCTTTATAGTCACATTTATAAATAACATCCATCCCTGAAACTTTGTCAGATCTGAGGATGACAATATCTGACCTGTTTTGCAGGATTCTTTAAGCGGTAAAATGTCTAAAAGTCAAAATATTCCTGTATTTGATTTGAGAACTGTGAAAGCGGTTGGCATTATCAACCAATTTCAACTTTAACCAATTTTGCTTATCTAGGCTGGTTTGAACAAGAGTGTTCAACTGATCATAGGGATTTTCGAATTGAGCATCTATCAATAGATCAGAAATCTTGACATGTGCAATGGAGCAATTAAATCCATGAGATAGGGCTTCTTCCTCAAATAATCACCAATTAACATGTTTGTGTGGATGCATAGACATACGGAGGAGGAGCAACGGAGCCATGCAATCAAGCATTATATTTAACATGTGCCTAGATGGCTTCAAAACCAATTAATGTCAAGTGGTCGAATTAACGCGCGCGAACGCGGTAATCTCCATGTTCGCTTTGGTGACTAGATTCGTGAGGAAATTCTTGGAGTTCTAGTGAGAAGTTGTGACCGGTGGAGCTAATCCGTGACAAGTAGAGACATGTATCTACCTCAGTACATTAAGAAATAATCGTGCACTTCCGTGGATTTGTTGAGGTTGGACATTAACACCGTCGAAGGCCAGCTCGGTGGTCCAGATGTTAAGCGTTCAGGGGCAAGACTGAATGCCCTGGTTTCAAATCCCGCGTGCGGGATCATGGATGCGGACTGCTCAGGAGTCCCAAAATACGACGAAACATCTGTTCAGTGATTCCAGGTTTCAATGGTGGTCATAGGCCATAAAATGACTCAAGGATTACCAAAATAAATTCTAGGTTACGACAAACTGTTCTTCTACGCATAAGGGAGATTTAAATTTACAAATAACAAAGGCTTCAATAAACCTGAGAATTCATCTTTGACAATTTCTATACAACGTTTTAAAAGCTGTATTATTGTCAATTTTGTGACGCGTTTCAATTATATGTTTCTCTATTGATGAACATGATTTTCTACCTCACACGTTAATTCGACCACTTGACATTAATTGGTTTTGAAGCCATCTAGGCACATGTTAAATATAATGCTTGATTGCATGGCTCCGTTGCTCCTCCTCCGTATGTCTATGCATCCACACAAACATGTTAATTGGTGATTATTTGAGGAAGAAGCCCTATCTCATGGATTTAATTGCTCCATTGCACATGTCAAGATTTCTGATCTATTGATAGATGCTCAATTCGAAAATCCCTATGATCAGTTGAACACTCTTGTTCAAACCAGCCTAGATAAGCAAAATTGGTTAAAGTTGAAATTGGTTGATAATGCCAACCGCTTTCACAGTTCTCAAATCAAATACAGGAATATTTTGACTTTTAGACATTTTACCGCTTAAAGAATCCTGCAAAACAGGTCAGATATTGTCATCCTCAGATCTGACAAAGTTTCAGGGATGGATGTTATTTATAAATGTGACTATAAAGAAAATTATTTATCTAAACTTGCTGATCAGGAGATGTTCCTGCACGACGTTCCATCGAATATTAATATTAGAAATTTACAATTCAGAGTAAAATCCGATCCCCTAAAGCTTCTTAAAATGAATGTCAAGTATAAAGACGAGTTTAATTTGCTAAAACCTTCTGGTTCTGTTCTCGCGTATTTATGTGAATTGCCTAAAATTCATAAACTTAATAATCCATTACGACCGAACTATCTATGCGTGGTTCTCGTACACATGAACAAGCTAAATGGTTAGTAAAATTGTTAACCTCAATTCGCAAAATCTATGTAAGTTTTCGTTAAAAGATACATTTGAAATAGTTGATCTTCTTGAGGACATCAATATTAAAGATACGACTTTGCATTCCTTTGATTTAAACTCTCTTTTTTGCGAATGTACCGTTAATTGAGAATGTGTATTTCCTTTGTGACTATATATCTACTAATTTTCCCTTTTTTCCTATTCGGTCATCATTGTTGAAAGAACTACTTTTATTATGTACTGCAAATGTTCAGTTCATGTTTGAGGGCGAATATTTCCAAAACGTTGATGGTGTTGCTATGGGTAGCCCTTTAGAGTCTCTCTTAGTCGATGTATTTATGTTGTATGTCGAAAATATGAAGAATAAGCTGTTTAGTGAGAAAACTTTGTATAGAAGATATATGGATGATATACTAGTTATATGTGATAAAGATTTTGAGGTTTCCCAGTTATTAGATAAACTTAATGGGGTTCAAAACGATATCGTAATGAATTATGAAGCAGAAAATAATGGCCAGTTGCTCTTTTCAGACAGACATTTGAGTAGAAGGGAGGATGGTTCTATAAGACAGCCAGTTTATGGGAGACAGACTTGGGAGGTAGAAAACCATGTTCATCAAAAGCAATACATATAATTGAAACGCGTCACAAAATTGACAATAATACAGCTTTTAAAACGTTGTATAGAAATTGTCAAAGATGAATTCTCAGGTTTATTGAAGCCTTTGTTATTTGTAAATTTAAATCTCCCTTATGCGTAGAAGAACAGTTTGTCGTAACCTAGAATTTATTTTGGTAATCCTTGAGTCATTGTATGGCCTTCATATACGTATTTCACTTAAACTTTCATTTAATTGACCTCTATTCATTTTCATATAAAAATCCTCTGACAAATATATATGTGACCAGATTGCTCAAAATGCATAGCCCAAATACATCACATTATTCAGATCAATTCCGTCTTCTAATTTCTTTATCGAAAATTAAAAATATTTAACTAATGAATCATTGCTAAGATCATTAGCAATGAAATTCAAATCGCATACCATTTTTGTTAGGAATCATCAATTCTATGTTGACATTTGGGTACCAATATATCACTAGATAATTCATCATTTTCTAAGTAAATATTTGTCAATACATAAGTTGATTACCAAAATTGTCAATTTCTATTGTTTTCCTGTGAGTAATCATGTCTGTTAGAAATGTGATTTGTTGCCGTGTTAATGTATGATGTATTTATTTTTAGTTGATAAATTACTATATGTATTATAATTAAGTTATTTCAACTCAACATTCCATTAGACCACTCAAATTCTTAATAAAATACGATTGCTTGTGTAATGGCGTGAAGTTTAAATTCACTTGGTATTGTTTACTTGAATTTTCCCATTGATGTTTAGGACTGCAATTGATCAGTCTCATATGGGATGCAGGTACATCCAACTGATGAGCCACTATCCATCTCTACTTGCAATGCTTATGTATTTAGGCAATATCGAGGCAATACGCACAGGATGCACATATACCAATAAGAGACTGATCAATTACAGTCGTAAACATCAATGAGAAGATACAAGTAAACCAATACCAAGTTTATTTACATTCATAATCCATAATTTGATTTTAATTCTAAATAAAACTCTAAATGTTTTGTGATATTCACATTTTAGCCAAATTCACGTTGACTCTCATTGAAGAAGCAATCAATAAATTGAACTATTCACAGCTAATAGAGAATCAGATTACATTCATAAAGACTTAAGATCAAATGAAAAAAAAGCTGTGTAATGCTCAAATCATTTTTCGTTGTATATTCGAGTTTTGTACAATTACATTCACTCAACATTTTAATCATTATTTATCCTTAATTAAGACTGAATTAGTGGAGTCCATGTGATTGCTTTTATACGATGGGAGAAGTACTGATATTGATATTTATATATCGGGAGTATAAATATACTTTGAAATGATTAATACAAACGAAGTCTTTTCAGATAAAAAAGAATATTTACTTTCACATTTTATATAAACTAAACTAAGTGAATATTCTACCTACTGCCATTCAAATGTTGTCAAGTTTTTATTTGTTTGAACTATTTGCTTATATCTTCCGTCAAATTGACTTTTCAAATGAGCTGTTAACTGTAGACCCGTACCATATGCTGCTCTACCAGTGGTTGAACAAGAACTAGAACGACTTCAGAAACTAGGTGTCATTGAACCAGTGAATTTCTCAGAATGGGCCGCACCGATAGTAGTAGTAAAGAAGACTAATGGTAGCGTTCGTTTATGTGCCGATTACTCAACCGGGTTTAATGAAGCCTTAGAAACTCATCAGTATCCATTACCCTTACCTGAAGATCTTTTTGCTAAACTGAACGGAGGTAAGCTTTTTGCAAAGTTGGATTCATCAGAAGCTTATTTACAATCCCTGTTGCTGACGAGTCTGAAAACCTGCTTACCATAAACACATACAAGGGTCTATTCCGGTATAATCGACTACCCTTCGGAGTCAAGACGGCCCCATCCATATTTCAGCAAATAATGGATACTATGCTACAAGATGTTTCAGGTGCTGCAACTTACCTAGATGATATAATAATTATGGGAGTAGATAGAGTAGACTTAGAAAAGAAGCTCGACCAGGTGCTGACGCGAATAGCCGAATATGGACTGCGACTTCGTCCAGAGAAATGTGACTTCTGTATGCAAAAAGTACGCTACCTTGGGTTTATGATCGACAAAGATGGAAGAAGACCAGATCCGGAGAATACCTTGGCAGTGAAAACTATGCCCAGACCGACGGATGTCCCCACGCTACGATCCTTCTTGGGACTAGTTAGCCATTATGGAGCTTTTATTCCGAAACTTCATCAATTACGTGCCCCCCTGAATAACCTTCTGGTGAAGAATATAAAATGGATTTGTTCTGCAACTTGCCAAGCCGCTTTCGATGAAATCAAGAAAGTACTAGTCTCGGAACTGCTGCTCACCCATTACGATCCATCCTTACCCACTGTAGTGGCATCAGACGCATCAAACTACGGCATTGGAGCAGTTATTTCTCACATCATGCCAGGTGGATCCGAGAAAGCGATATCACATGCGGCGAGATCGTTAACGTCAGCAGAACGTAACTATAGTCAGATCGAGAAGGAAGCATTGTCGATTATCTTCGCTGTCAAGAAATTTCACAAGATGATATTTGGACGTCAGTTCACCCTATTAACTGACTATAAATCATTACTAGCCATCTTTGGGTCGAAGAAAGGTATACCTGTATACACCGCAAACAGACTGCAACGTTGGGGAACTACACTCTTGGGTTATGACTACAAGATCAAGTACCAGCACACTACTGATTTTGGACAAGCTGACGCTTTATCTAGACTGATTGGTTCACAAGTAAAACAGAAAGAAGACACTTTGGTGGCAGCAATCGAGACGGAAACAGAAGTACATCGAGTTTTGGAAGACACAGTTCATGGTTTACCAGTTACTTTCAAGGTCATTAAAGAAGCCACGGAAAATGATAAGACTTTAAGAAATGTTAGTGGTTATCTTCTCACCAAGTGGCCGAACCGTCGTTTTCAAGGAGAAATGCTACAATATTTTCGCCGACGGGACTCACTTATGATGGTCGACTCATGTATTATGTTTGGTGACAGAATTATTGTTCCAAAAGTATTACGCTACAAGGTTCTGAGACAATTCCACGGCGGTCATCCTGGTATCAATAAGATGAAAGCGTTGGCTCGAAGCTACGCATACTCGCCTACGATGGATCAAGATATCGAAACCAGATGCCGCAATTGTTCATCGTGCCTACATACAGCCAAACGTCAAGGCAAGTGTGAACCGCAACAATGGGAAAGGCTGAATAGTCCCTGGGAGAGGCTGCATGCAGACTTCGCCGGTCCAATACGAGGAAGAACGTATCTAGTCGTAGTAGACGCGCTCACAAAATGGCCACAAATCTACGCCATGGTGAATTGCACAGCCAGTGAAACAGTCAGCAAGTTATCCGACCTGTTTAGCTGCTTTAGAGTCCCGCAGACTTTAGTGACCGATAACGGCTCACAATTCACTGCGGAATCATTCAAGCACTTCTGCAACGTTAATGGGATTGCACACATACGATCTCCACCGTATCACCCCCAATCAAATGGCCAGGCAGAGTGCTTCGTGGATACATTGAAAAGAGCACTACTGAAAGGGGGAGGCGAAGGGACGACAGGGCAGGTGATCACAAACTTTTTGACATCCTACAGATCCACCCCGAACCCGAATGTTCCAGACGGCAAGTCTCCCGCGGAAACCATGTTCGGAAGGCGTATTTGAACCGTCTTCGATGATGAGCGCAGTCACGATCCAAGTATCCGGAACTTCAATCTTGGCGACAAAGTTTACATTAAATCCTACATCGGGAAGAACCGATGGGAACCGGGAGAAGTTGTGCAAAAACTGGGGGGAGTTCTGTACAGAGTCCGAGGAGCTTTTAGAACATTTATTCGACACGCAAACCAAATCCTTAAGGATAAAAGAACGTTGCAGACTCGAAGTAACCGGGCGAACTTCCCGTTGGATTGAATCTTAGATGCACCAATGCCACAAATGCCCAGGAACACTGAAAAGATACCTTGGACAAGGAAAACAACAAGAATAATGGGACGCCGTCGCTACCCAGTCGTCAAACTACAAGTAGATCCCAGAAGAAATCATATTCGCGGGGAGGTGTTGAGTCGGCTTCCGGAGAACTTCAACGGAGCCTCCAGAGGCTCAAAAGGAGCCGAAGGTTCCTAGCCAATCAGAGTACGATGGAACGTTCGAGAATTCCAGCGTGGCGTGCTATTATTGGTCGGTAGCATAATATGACGTTAACGGATTGGTTGAAATATGATGTTGATTTAACAGACTCCAACATCTATAAATACCCTTGATTTTCTGTACAAAAATGAACCTAGGAATAAAGTATTTTCTCTCATACTTGTGTCTTCTCTCTGGTGTTCAAGTTGCTGTGTAGTTCTAGTCTGCGGGTTACCAGATAGCTTAGGAATCGTATATAGCGTTCCATTGACAAGACGTATCAACGGTGTTAAGGTTTTAGAATTCAGGTCTTATCATGAATGAACGAAACTTAGACGTTTTGTATATGAATGTAACTAAAATCGATCTCGTCAGTCATTGTCAATATTCTTGACAATGTAAATTTGTTATCACTTTTGAAAATAGCCTACTGATACGTCATAATCAGCTTTGAAATCGTTTACACTACATTCAGTCATTCTAATTCATTTGGAAACTATTCTAACGATATTGATAATGTGGTGTATCCTAATTACACTGACAGGTATCAGTGGTATGTAGTGATAATAGAAAGTAAAATGTCTGGCAGCAGAAGATTGGAATGAAGACAAGAAGGAAATCGGAGAGTAGTCGAAATAACAACCCAATTAGAGGAATAATGGAGTAGGCAAGGAGCAACAAAAAAATGTGCATGTGATGTATTTAATGTATGATTATCATACATCATTAAGCTACTGTGTGATTTTACGTTAAACAATAAATCAGTCATTCCCACCAAAAATTCGTTTACTACAGTAATACTAATTATAGGTAATCATTAAAGTAACGAGGTAATAGCCCTAGAAACAACTTTTTGAAAGTTAAATATCAGTTTAAACTTTAATAGGATAGAGTTGGATGACTGGCTTATCTCTTGAAATCCCATTTTGTCATAATCTACTCATACATATTAGTTTTCTTAGCTATCTATGATCGGTATACATCTAATCTATTGAGTTCAGTTGTTATATAAACATTTTAAAAAGTTATATATGTGAAATTATGTTTCAACAAATAAGTGCAAATATTTAAGCTATTTTAATCACATTAATATTGTGTGATTTTTAATTCGTAAATTACGTTTAACTGGAATTACACATGAATTAATATTTTTCCTTAAAATGAATAAACCCTTGACTATCAGTATAGATTCACATTCATAATATATAAGTATAGTATGGTGGAGAATGTTGATTATTTTATTGAGATTATGAACCGATCATTGTTAGACTACCATTGAAAACTTGGAAGCACTGGATGGTCGTGTCACTCGAGAATAAGACAACCCACCAGTACACATTAACGATTCCACATTCGAGTACTAAACATAGCAACTTCAGTGTTCTGCACGAACGATTAACCTATAGATCACTGAGTCAGCATCTACTAGTGTTAATGTATAACTTCAACCGATTGACTGAATTGTGCCACCATCTTCCATTGTCTTCAATTCGTAACTGCCTCACCTCACACCCGACACATCTGAAATTCATTGATCGCAGATTCTCATGAGACGTCCTGAAATTCTTTGTCGAACTTGCCACTAATGAGTGCATGGTAGTCAGTAGTAGATTTTGTGTCAGGGTTTCGTGTCTAACGGTATCCACCAACAGGAGTTATTAGCAATCACGAGAATAATGATGCTTCCTGATCGATGTGAAATGGAGTCGTCAATTTCACAATCTGAAACGTTACCTTCGATCTGTTCTGGTTGTCATTATCTATCTGTAACTGCCTATGTCTAAGGTACATATGATCAACAACGAAGTAACTGTTAACTTCAATACATTGACGGAATACAACATTTCAGAAGATTCAACGACCATCACCTTTATTCAACTAAAGGAAATGTGATGTGGCTATTAATGAAGCAAGTTTTCTGATCATGGTTGATAGATAACATAATAGGTGTATTGTTGATTCAGTGAATTCAGAAATGCCAACTAGATTATTTTAAATCATTGATGAAGCATCCAAGACATCGGTGATATAAATATTCTCGGAAAATAAACCAAATCATAAAATGTTATTAAAAAGACATTGAATTTAAAGTAAAATTGACTCATGTTGTGCAACTTGTTTTGAAGGCTCATTTTCGTGTGAAAATTATACATTCAACAAACATGTAATTAAATTTCCATTTCGTTTACCGTTTTAATAGACTATAAAATGGATATTTATTTCAGGACAAAAGAAATGAAACATTAAAATTATTTATAAGAGTTATTATCTAGGCCATAGTTAATAAAATTAAATCACTTTGGTGATTATGTAGGTTATTATTAAGTTTTATAATCAATCAATTGATGTACAGTCGAAAATGTAAGAAAAAAGATACTTTCAACTGTAATTCGTTGAAGGTGGATTGATGAGGTTGAAGCATTTGATGTATATTTCTTTCAAGTCTGTGTCATTCCGGCGAAATCGGCGCTAGATACTATATGAATCGTGATTGACTTATTGAGTGCAGCTTTCAATATTATGAAAAATTGATTCAGCATTGAAACATGATCTGCTTTATGAAGTAGGTTGTAATTTCACTTTAATATACAACACTAATGTTAATGAATACCAAATATCTCGATCTAGTCTTTAAGTGAAATAAGTTTCTCCTGCTAAAGTTACGTATTTGAATGTTAACATTGACATTTGATACTTGATAGCTATTCTTACTAATATAAATATTTAAATGTTCGGAACTCATTTTTTACTCTACATCATCAAAGATTATTAACTTACAGAAGAATTATATTTTATGCCGGTGCAGAATGTTCTTCAAAGGAACATCAAACCTCACTAATTACCTCATACACATCCTTACATACCCAACCCTCCTTCTTTACCCGGGCTTGTGACCAGCAGTAGCCCTAGAGAAGCTAGAGGCGGAGCCAGAATACATTTACACCTAAGAAATCGTCAAAGCGTAATCCCCATCACTTTAAGTATACATCAGTAGTCAAAAAATTATTGTGGTGAATATTTTATATGAGTATCTGTTACTTGTAATAAATTCCATTTATTTTTATCCTATACCTCTGTTGGTTTGTCTAAAGAAGAATTTTTGAAATGAAATTGAGTCATGAGATGTGCAATTCTGATGAAAAATCTTTCAAAGAGAAATACTGATAAACTTATTACTTGCATGATAACATTTCATTCGGTTTAATTTCTCCAGGAACATCGATTTTCGTTACTGTTAAAAAAGATTCCATTCTTTTAGGTTTGTTGAAGCATCAATTTGCTATTCTTCCACCCTATTTCTAATGTGACACAAATGAAAAGTGAATGCTTAATTGCTCTTATGCACTGAGTCTACTAATTCTTCTACTTAACAGTAGACATTCTCTTCCGAACTAATTGGAAAAGAAAGTTGTCTGCTTTCACTGTTCACTGCAATCATCATGAATTATGATTGTAACTTTCAATTTCCTTCAACATATAAATACAATGAGATGTGTAGAAATGTGATGTTGTTTAAGTGTATATCGACATTTAACAGAACAAAATTATCGATTGTGAAGTGAATTTAGAAAGAGACAGAAGCGGCGAAATGTTTAGAAGTTAAAATATTCCTGTATTTGATTTGAGAACTGTGAAAGCGGTTGGCATTATCAACCAATTTCAACTTTAACCAATTTTGCTTATCTAGGCTGGTTTGAACAAGAGTGTTCAACTGATCATAGGGATTTTCGAATTGAGCATCTATCAATAGATCAGAAATCTTGACATGTGCAATGGAGCAATTAAATCCATGAGATAGGGCTTCTTCCTCAAATAATCACCAATTAACATGTTTGTGTGGATGCATAGACATACGGAGGAGGAGCAACGGAGCCATGCAATCAAGCATTATATTTAACATGTGCCTAGATGGCTTCAAAACCAATTAATGTCAAGTGGTCGAATTAACGTGTGAGGTAGAAAATCATGTTCATCAATAGAGAAACATATAATTGAAACGCGTCACAAAATTGACAATAATACAGCTTTTAAAACGTTGTATAGAAATTGTCAAAGATGAATTCTCAGGTTTATTGAAGCCTTTGTTATTTGTAAATTTAAATCTCCCTTATGCGTAGAAGAACAGTTTGTTGCAACCTAGAATATATTTTGGTAATCCTTGAGTCATTGTATGGAATATGATAATGCGACAATTTTTTGTTGTTTCTATACTATGTACAATGTTTCTCCCAACTTTGTTACCAGAATGAAATTTTCGATTGTGAAGCAAATTTAGAAACAAAGTTAATCTTTATTTAATTCATGATAAAGATTCAGAACATTTGATTTATGCAATCTATAATGAACAGTTGCTCAGGATCTTACTTCCAGACGTTTAACTATTTTAGAATCAACAAGTGAAAATCGAAATTTCCCTGTTATTCATGTAAACAAAACTTAGTAGTGTACACGATACCAAGATTTGTGTGAAACAGTAGTTTATTTCGACATCATTAGATATCACTAAAATGTCGATGTGATCAGTGAAATGAATAATGTTTTATAATTTCTTTTATATTACATTTAGAATAAACTCTGCCCGCAACCCCTCTGGTGCTACTGCCGGTCCCAAGCCCGGCTAAAGAAGGAGGGTTTGTCATAGGGTTAGCGACCACATCCCGTAGAAAACTAGCTCGCTAAAGAAACGTTAACCAGGAAAAATAATTCAAACCATTAAAACTCTGCCCTGGGTGTTAGAACGTCTTCATTTAGGAGAGTTATGACGCCTCATGGTGAAAGCCGAGTTCCCTCGGAAGTCACGAGTCCGATGCCGCTTCTGACAACCAGAGCAACCATTTGTTTAGGTACATGGAATTCTCGTATAATGTGGGTGACCAGGAGGGTCTTTCAAATTGCTGCAGAAAAAGAGATACAACCTAGCGACCACACTATGAGGAGATGAGTCATACCATAGCAGTACCTTTGCAAACTGTTTCATCACTCATTTATTCGTTAAGACCTACTATGTATGAGAAATGAAAGTTTGCTATAGATCGATTGGAAGATATTTAAATAAAAGGTACTTGGGAAATGCAATATGAATCACACTGCAATGTATGATAAGCCAATATTACTGTTATGAGATTTACAGATGTGAAGGTGAGAATCGGCAAAACAAGAGCAGCATATTTACAAATGAAGAACATCTGGAACTCAAAACAACTGTCTGTCAACCAACATCAAAGTCAGAATTTTCAATACAAATGTCCAAACAGTTCTACTGTATGGGGAGGAAACTTGGAGAACTACGAAAGCTATCATCCAGAAGATACAAGTGTTTATTAACAGTTGTCTACGCAAAATACTTCGGATCCGTTGGCCAGACACTATCAGCGACAACCTACTATGCGAGAGAACAAACCAGATCACAGCAGAGGAAGAAATCAGGAGGAAGCTCTGGAAGTGGATGAGACGCACATTGAGAAAAGCACACAACTGCGTTACAATGCAAGCTTTCACATGGAATCCTGAAGGCCAAAAGAGAAGAGGAAGACCAAAGAACACATTAGGTCGATAAATGGAGGTAGACATGAGAAAAATGAACAAGAATTGGATGGAACTAGAAAAGAAGGCCCAGGACAGAGTAGGTTGGAGAATGCTGGTCAGTGGCCTATGCTCCATTGGGAGTAAAAGGCGTAAGTAAATGATTTGCATAGTTTTGTTTTCCTAAAATCTTTATTCTGTAATCATCCAATCTGCCTATTTTGGATTTTATTTTCCATAAATAAATCACTTACCAAGTGAATTTGAGAACAGATTGTTCAAAACGTATTTCCTATGAAGTCACATAGTTCTGAAATACTTCGTTTTGCATTATGTAGATCGAAGCAAAGTTCCCAAAACATCTAGTAATTAATCACTTCTGACAGAAAATGCTTCGTTTGATTCATCCAGACTACAATGCATAGTAGCGTGCAAATATAATTACTTTGGAAAGAGATGACAAAGCGATATCACTAAGACTATTAAATATTTTATGTACTTTTAGTAGGATCATACATTTAGACGTCAATTAAATCGGACGATATTGTCGATAGGCTCACCACTTTTGCGGCCTTATATCTGAACGCACTTCAATCGTTTCTGATTTCTATTGAAATATACATATCGTCAATCCTCGTATAGAATTATCGACTTAGATCGCGTTATTGAATAACGGAATTAAATAAGCCAAACACGAGAATGGATTTTCGAATACATATATTTTATACACTCATTGATCTGGGAAGGCAATCAGAGGACTGAAGCGAAGGAAGCGAAGAGAAGAGAGTGAAGCGAAATGACGCGCAATGAAGAAAGTGTGTATGCCAACTCGATTTAATCAAACGTTAATCAATATGTACAGCCAGATAAAAATAATTTACAGACATGTGATGAATAGGATAAGAAGTGTACACGCATATAAAAGGGTTAATAAGTGAATAATTAACAAGTTCAAAGTGTGACTCTAGAAGAATGGATAAATTGACCTGTCCAGAAGCTAGGATAAGGTATATGAGGTTAACATAGCAACCGACACTACATATTCTTCAGTTAAAATGTACATAGAAACACCTTGATCTTAATTACTTTTCAGTTTCCCAAAGTCATTTGTATTTCTTGAAATAAAGTATTTAATACATATTTAGTAAGATCTGGTGTTGCATTAAAAACCAGCAGATAACTTATAAATAACTGAATGTTTTGAAAGTTTCCGTTAAAAATCATCCTTGATTAAGTGATATGATGGGATGAAAAGTTCAAATTATAATAATTTTCTAGTCAACTCAGTGTAATATTTATTTCTATTTTCCAGTGTGATATTTCATTTTATATAACATACGATATTCTTATATTCCATTGACATGAACTCTATTCAGCATGATATGTAGCATACGATTTGTTATAACCCTAAGTGATTTCATTCTAATTATTAATCAAAATGAATGGATTTCAACTATATCTGATGAGATTGTTTTTCCAACAACAACAAAAATACCAACAAACAAATGAAAAATGGTTTTAGTCAATTCCTATTTTAGCCCAAAATAAAACTATCAGGAAGACATTGAACAATATTAGGGCTCTTCAATAACATGAATTGTTTTTAGTACAATAATTTATTATATTAAAAGGAATTAATTAATTAACTTATTTTATTAACCAATCAGATATTTATTGTAGTTCACTTTTAAAAATGATTGGTTAATTTACTTTTTATCATTAAATATTTAATGTTAAATCACTTGATTTAATGTTACTTACAAAATATTGTGCATTGCAAGAACCTTCAATAATCCAATCTATGTAAGTTCTATTAAATAAAAATGTTGATATTTTGCATACACTATTAAATTAATGGTATATTGGGTTAAAACCAAAGTGTTTAGTTTTCTAAATACACTTGATAAACTGGTTCCTTAAGATCTTTATTTCACTTTATGAATGATAAGAGATGTTGAAAAGTTAGTGAGTACTCACTTCATACAAAACAGTCAATTATTCAGAGTTCTTTGTTAAAAGCCATTAACTTTTATGCATTATACTATGAATAGTTGCCTAAATAACATGAATGGATGGAAGGATTTACCTGTAAAATTAAGCTTTGTTCAAAGTATAACATTTAATCTAACTGGTAATGAATAAAATTCCGTCTTCAAATTTTAGTCTTTCTTATTTTTCAACTTGTTTTGTATTAGAGTCCATAATTTATTAATTAAATTGTGTTACACTGTTGTGTCATGACATATCATTTGTTATCAATTTAGTCATCAGTATGGGGTTGTGGAGATCATTAAGCTCCTGACTGAAATTATGAACCGATTGATGTTAGATTACCATTGAAAACCTGGAAGAACTGGACGCCGTTTCGTCCCATTATGAGACTCCTCAGCAGTGCGCATCCATGATCCTGTTTGCGGAATTCGAACTCAGCACCCTTGATCTCACTCGCGAACTCTTAACATCCAAACCACTGAGCTGGCTTCCAGTGGTGTTAATGTCTAATCTCAACCAATCCACGAAATTGTGCGATCATCTCCCATTGTACTGAAGTAGATGACTGTCTCTACCCGACACGGAGTTCTAGTGAGAAACCGTGACCAAAATTGTCATGGAGTATGTGAATAAAATTCTTAGTTCTATATTCTTGCTGATGACTTAATAAAACAAGCTCTTGTAGCATGAAGAAGTAAGTTGGTTGTTTCACCGTAATATCAGAATAATACAGCAGGATATTTACCAGTTTACTGATCATTCGTGAAATCCAGTACTCATCAATTATCATTTGTTTTGTTTATTCATAACAGAATTCAACCAAACCAGTAAAATGTAGTCAGGTTCTAAAAAGCAAACATTGTTGGTTCATTATTTATGGTCAAGGATGTTATTCACCTCTCTATTGATCAAATGAAATGTGTTTGTCATGTGATTCAAGTACCTATGTGATAGTCTTCTTTACCTCTCTTGTTTTAATTCAGTTAGATACATGAGTAAAAATACTAACCACTTTAAATGGTACTTTGTGCTATACTGCCTGATATATTTTATGTACTGGAAGAAGATAATATAAGCCGTACGATTCAAGCTGAGTTGTTTAAAATTATCCTACTGGCTGCAGTAATTGAAGACCTGTGATCTGATTTTCTCTAAGGTCATCGATTTGCATTGATAAGAATCGTATAAAACTTAATAAACCTACCCTAACTTTCACACTTCTTCTGTTCATTATAACTATGAAACTGGTAACCATCCTAACCATCAGACAGAAGGGAGTCTTATCAAAGGAAAACTTAACCATCCAATCCTTTGGGAATGTTTAATGTCTGAATTAGTTATTGCTATTCATAGAAGCGTTTCTATCGTTATAATCTTAGTGGAGGACATAATAAATCTGATTGAAGATTGCCATCCAAGCTTTAAGACTATTGTACAAGTTATATTACATATATTGTAGCCGTGTGAACTTTCTGGTGTATATAAATATGCTATTTCATTTTTATCACCATGACTTATCAAACAATAAGCTCGAACAAGTAAGGTAAAGGGAATCTTAGCCATCGACTGACAAAAGTCGAGCACGATTATAAAAAGCAGTGATATTTCTGAGATTTAAAATTGATTTGATGATTTATTAGGGTCTTTGGAAGGTTCTGAAATTTTCAGTACAAAATACATATGGCTGAAAGTATTTACACATTGTATAGGTTGACGTTGGTTTTCATCAAGATAATCATAGAAAACCGATGATTATTAAATGAACGTTTCTTTCCAACTTGTAAATCTCCAGCAGCTTGAACTTACAATCTTATGACCTAGTCTCACGGCTAATGTGGTATGTAAATACTGCTTCATTGAAATATGGTGATCCATATTTCTAGCCTTGTTCTAATCACAGCATACATCGACTAGCACTCAATATCACTAAAGACACCTGTTCTCATCTTTCTATGAAACTGTTAGTTTAAAACTTCATGGGTTTGATTAACATAATTTTAGATGATAGATGATGGTCAACTGAATATATTTGGTAAACAATTAAGTATGTCGATAAACATAAATTTGTAGTACATTATATTAATTAGAAAAGTTAGAAATATAACACCGCTGGATGCCGGTTCAGTGTTCTAGAGGTTAAGCGTTCGCGCTTGAGACCAAAGTCCCTGGGTTCGATGGATGCGCACTGTTGAGGAGTCCCATAATAGGACGAAACGGCCATCCAGTGCTTCCAGGTTTTCAATGGTGGTATAACATCAATCTGTTCATGATCTCAATCAAAACCCTAATGCTCTCCACAACTCTAGAGTAAGGAATATAATTAATAAATAAAATACTGGTCGCGTATTATTGAAGTTTGTATGTAACTTAAATAGATATTTAAATCCATTTTAATCCATACTGTTACTGAAATTTGAAAATTATTATACAATAAACAACTATGAAAAATTGTCCATTTTCCTTTCATAGTTTTTTATTTACTTACCATTTGTCCTTTATGATGCATTAAATAGAGTAAATGAATAATTTTTCAAATAGAATTTCGATTAAAATCTTTATTGTTGTTTTTATTCTCTTTAAACTATTCACTGGTGTACTTTGATAATTTCAAATAATACGTGATTGAATAACAGTAAATATGAATTGATTTAAAACGTGACTAGAATTATTCATTTTGTAAGGCGGCCTGGTTGAATATTTGCGCTACCTGTTCCTGTCCTTTAGATATTTCAATAAGTTATCTGGGTTTTTATTTGTTTGTTTTGGGACATCATAGCAGGCAGGCAGGCAGGGAGGCAGGCAGGCAATATGCATTGAAAAGAATGAATATTATTCAGATGTTGATTCCTGACCTGCTAAAATCTAACTAGCGATCACTCAGTCATGTGAATAAAATCCATAGCAAGATAATTTCATCTTGTCAGTCGAAGTAATCTTAGCAATATTAATGACAATAATAATAACAATATCGTTGTGAGAATTGGAAGGGGAAAAAGAGGTTTATTGTATCCAGTTTAGGTATCCGATGATCCAGTCGAGGGCCATGGTGAACATAGGGGCTAGATAAACCTCTTCCGAATACATAAGTTCGGTTTTCTGGAGTTGATCCAGATGGCTACAGCTATATAGAGTTGCCGTAATCTATAGGTAGATTCATCAAAGCTTGATATAAAAAAGAGAAAGCTTCCTCTGTTTTAATATGATTTTCTCTATCTCCCAAGTTAGAAAGAATGGGGATGTTAATTAGTTTAGTGATTTTTTTTCCTAACCATGCTAGTACATCTTTATGAACACGCAAAGATAAAGCCCTCTAAGTACGGCCTATGTAATTAGCTCCGCAGTAGCAGTTGAACTGGTATACACACATGGAGGAGCCCATCATCAGTAACCTATCCTTAATTTGTTGTGTAAGTACTGGTTTGATCAAAAAAATTATATGTAAATTGGTGGTGTGAAATGTCTTTTCAACAGATCTTTTGAGTCGACGAGTTAAAATGTTACTCGCTATGTCCCCTTTAAAATCCAGTTTCAGATAAAAGGTTATTTTACTTACCGTGCCATAGTTTCTTTCTATTCATTACCTTCTAATAGAAATTTTCGGAACAAATTATCCAGATAGCCGTTATTTCGTAAAGTTTTCTTTAGCTTACCTATTTCGTTATCTACTCTATCTTCAGAACATAATAGTTAGATTCTGTGACTGAGACATTTAGCCCATTTTATTTTGCATTGAAGATTTGTAAACCTACGGAAAAGAAACAACACCCGGTAACTTATTCTCATTTAAGACACATATCATGATTGAAACATTGAAATTATTTTCTTTTCTATTAAATAATCATTGTCAAATTAAATAAACAAATTGCACAAGTTTTAATTCTCAAAAAACCAAATACATCGAACAATTATTATCATTCTAAGTGCGTTTTTTTGTGTATGGAAATAAATGGTTTGCATTAGTTTACGCCATATATCAACTGTTTCTTTAATTAAACATAATAAACAACACATGACATTAGTTATGTATGCAATTCTAAGAAGAAATACATCACTGACAAAATGTTAGACATCAAAATGATGTATTTAATTTGTTAAAAAGAAATATCTTTTCATTATGAGTAGTATGTGACTTTAATTCAACTGTGAAAAAGAATGAGATTATTCTTCTTCAAAAAGAAAAGTGTCACAAATAGAGATAAGGTTGAACTAGTTTCATGGTTGACCAATATAAGATCGAGTTAACCTGAAATAAATACACAAGAGAAGGAAATAGAATTTATAAACTCATCTGTAGAATATCTGATAATTTATATGAAAATGATGGAATGTTATGACATGAAAAATAATTACAAAAACTGGTTGATGTTATACCAGCATTGAAAACCTGGATGCAATGGACGGCCGTTTCGTCCTAGTATGGAACTCCTCAGACGTGCATATCCACGATCCCGCCACCTCGCGGGATTCCAACCCATGGCCTTGAGTGCGAATGCTTGACCTTTAGACCACAGTTGGATGCTGACTCAATGGTCTAGTTGTTAAGCGTTCGCACGCGAGACTGAAGGCTCTGGGTTCCAATCCCACAATCGGGATCGTGGATGCGCACTGCTGAAGAGTCTCATCATAGGATGAAATGGCCGTCCAGTTCTTCCACGTTTTCAATGGTGGTCTAACATCAATCGATTCATGATCACAATCAAAAACTTAATAATTTTCACAACCTTATACTGATAATTACAAAAATTTTAGAATATTTCTTTATATTTACTGAACATTTTAATGAATAAGTGTTTGGATTTATTGAGTGGTTTTCAAATACATCGACGTAGGACAAATATGTACAAGTGTGTTGATGAACTGCAATTAATTATATGATCTTTATGAACAGAGTATGTCAGTAGACATCATTTGACATTAACTTGATTCCATGAAATACATATCTACCTATGAATTTAAATTCATATGACTTTTTATGAAGATAAAGATTGTCTTTGATAAAATCCAAGAAAAATGACCATTTTAGAAATGGCCAAGTTAATGATTTTCACTGACATTGATATCGAAGTTTAAACGAGATATATAAGGAATTAGATCTTTCCATAAATTTTTGCCAGATAATTTTTATATAATAAAATAGTTGATTCCTTTGATTATTACCAACTTGGAACATAAATAATTTCTCCATATAATACCAAAAATAGAGAAGTATAGAAGTCTTCTTGGATTCCTGACCCATATTCTATGGTAGAAAAACGATTTATGAAGAGTTTGATCGAACTACATTTTCTATTGTTAACTTTTTTGATTCAAAAATAAGTAGGTACTAACAAATGTTCATCTTTGGCAACAATTATTCTCATATCAATATGTTCCTAGATTTTCAGTCAACTTATCTGACGACTCTATATTCCTATGCTGTCTAAAGTCATAGGTAAGAACTAATCTAAAAACTTTAAACAAAAATTCTGGGAGGATAGATCAATTCACAACAGAATGGATTTTCTAGTTTCGAAAATCACTTTCATGACATGGATTATTACTTATGTACTCATTTTAATTAACTGTCAGAAATAATACAGAGGCATTTATATGGATAAAACCATAAAATAAAATTTCAATAGTTAAGATCATGAGTCAATTGAAGTTAGACCACCATGGAAAACTTGTAATCACTGGAGTCCCACAATAGGACGAAATAGCCCTTCAGTGCTTCCACGTTTCCCATGATTGTCTAGCTTCCATTGACTCATGATTTTGAGTACTAAAATTACTATCATATCTACAATAACCGCTTCTGATATTAATAAAGGAAAAGCTTTTCCGCTATGTATGAATGTAATGAAATCAATATGTATGTAATTATTTTTATAAAATGTTTAATAAATTAATTGTTTTTTAATATTCCAATAGATAATGACTTATCATTGGTTGATTAGTATACAAATCTCATTGTTATTTGTTAACTGCTTATGTAATGGATCAGGTTAGTGAATACTTGCATATTTCAAATTAGTTTTATACCTAATTACTAATAGTTTTCCAGATAAATTGGGTGAATATTTTTGTACGTCTGTATCTAATTGTAATAGAGATAACAGAATTAGAAGAGACTAATTATAATTCGGTACACGTGTTGAAACCATTCTCATAGACAAATTGCATATCCGAATTACAACTTTTAGGTTATTTTTCTAATAAATTCTACTGAGATAGTGGAGAAGATTTGTAGTTTAGATGGATAATTTTAAATGGAGTTTTGTTCCCTGAACTGGGTGGTTTGATCGTATAGCTTTTATTGTTATTCTGAACGACATCATCAGCACAAACTTCAGGTAGAAGTTGATGGTATCATTCACAATAATGATGAAATCTTCACGACCAAACCATCTAACTCAGAGAACAAAACTCCACCAAAAATAATTCCTACGGTTTTCAATCAAACATATTATTTTCAGATGATTTAAAATCCCATCACATGATTAACCAAGTATCAGTTATCGTTTTATTTAACGCATCCGCAGCTTCCGTTAGTTAGAAAAAGTAATATCACCTATAGAAATAGACAATAATCAATGAGGATTATTAGGTGAATGAATTCTGAAATATAGACCATCATCAATCATTTGACTTATTCATATTTCTAGCACGATTCGTGAATTTCAAAGTAGCTAAAATAATCTATGCATAACTTGTCTATTTCAAATGGGCTTTTAAGCTCACACTGATCCCTAGTGAGAGCTCAATTGAAATATTGCTTGTATAAAAATATTTTGACAAAAGTAAACAGACTAATCATTAAAGGTGCTATTGAAACATCTTAACTTATTTATAAATAAACTAATAATTTAGTTATGAGAAAAAATTTACTGAGATTGTTATTGGAATGTCCCTAAATGCCTTAATAATGGCCAAGGGTGAGAAAAGACCGCTCTTCCTCTCGAAATGCTCTCACATTGCCACTCGTATACAGCGACCGTCAAGAAAGTCCCACTCATTGCCTTCTTGCGACGGGGGTGTTGTTTACGAAATTTAGAGGGCGAAAAGCGAATGTCCGGCGCTTTAACCAGGTTGATGAATATAGAGGATCCACCTAGGGAAGTTGGAAAACCCTGATTCCAAACCAGTGGTGCACATGGGCTCCAGGATCCCCGAAGAATAAATGGCATATGAATCAGTTATTGGTTATCGGCTACCATGGGACTGCATCTGCTGACGTTACTCCACTGCCTTGTATATCAGTCTTTTAGGTCAAAGGTTCCGATTGATGTGGCGTATGTCTATTTGGTTCCTCCTTGTACCAATATCTGTGCGTTAAAATAAATAAAATAAACGAATATTATTGTAATAATTTAGCGAAATATTCACATTTTTACTATTCCTGAGAGACTTTTGTGTGACACAAGTAATTTTCTAATATAGAAATGAAAACTAATAGAATTGTTTTCTAATTATTCACATTTAATGACTGAGATTAATCATGACAGTATGCTAATCACTAAACATCAAATTGTAGGAATAATGTTTTAGTTTCTTTTTAGAAACTATGTTTTCACTTACCGCCTAGTTTTATCATGTGAATATATTCTGAGCATTATTTGACAATTGAATTTATTCTTTGAATTACACATATTCTACTCACTGAGAATAAAACTAATTCAGAGTTAATACATAAAAGAGGAAGAGTTCAACATCATCTCCACATTAATTAAAGTTTTAATCAGTTTAAATGATTAATCTATGAATACAATTATGATGAATGTTAGTTGTAGATTTCTGTCAACATTGAGTGAAAACTTAAAGGGGCGTCCTCATTTTTCACTCATCTTCTTTATTTCACTCCATTTAAATCAATTATGGTTTTTGTTAGTTACCAATATTCAGTTGATTTCTGGTGATTTATTGACATCGTAATTGCAAGAAAATGCTAAAAGAAATCATGACGAATTTCAATATAATCATGATGCTTATTGGTCAAAGTTGAATCAATTTAGTGGTAAACAATTAATAGTATTATCAGCAACATGCTATTTGAATGTGTATAGGGTGAGTGAAATGAGCTAAAGTAACGTTCGTTATAAATGGTGAATTAGTGACAGTAATAATGAAAATAAGAAAAAAAACATCAATTGGATTAAATGAAAAAAAATGTTACGTCTAGCTAATACTTATTTAATAGTTAGAGGTCACTTTTGTACTGGTTTAATGAACCAAAGCGGCTAGCAGGAAAATAAAGTAATACAGTCAGCGAAATAATAGAAAATTCGAAGGGATAAAAGTAATCCGTAGGAAAACACTCTCTAATGTTCATATCTCTTTACTATTTTGTTTCATTATCTGGCATATGAAGTCCATATAACTTTTTAATCATTAGAAATGTTATTGTTTTACTTGTTGTAAATCTTTTTGGGGGGGGGTGGAAAAATTTTTAACAGAATGGTCTTATTCAAATGTATTAACTGGACCGGAAACATGGAATCACCACTACAGAAATATGTGTTCGGGTTATTATCAATCACCAATTGATTTGAAATCAGATAAATCTATACTTGATTTACGATTAAAAACTGTGGTAATTTATCGAAACACATCAGTTGCTGAGACTACTACAATTACAAATAATGGTCACTCAGGTGAGTTCATGTTTTTTTTTCATTTTTCTATTAAATTACACTTTTGTTTTATCACTTACAACATATTAATAGAATAAAATAAACTTCCTGTTTATATATATACATTTTTCTTTACTATTTATAAGTTTATATATCATCGTTTCAAGGATTCATGATTTTTAGATTGATTACAGCCGAAGATAGTAATAATTCAATTTTAGTGAACCGAGATCTGCCTCCAGTTATATCGTGTGATTGCAATTGTTATTGAGATTTATGTGTCGTCAATCCTCGTATAGAAGTATTGACTTAATACACATTAGTGTATAACGGAATTCAATAAGCCAAATGCGAGTATGGATTTTCGAATACCTATATTTTGTACAGTCATTGATCTGGCCGAACAATAAAAAAAATGAAGCGAAGGAAACAAAGAGAAGAGAGCGAAGCGAAATGACGCTCAGTGGAGAAGGCGTGTATGCCAACTCCATTTAATCAGGCGCTAATCAGTACTTATAGTAACACAAGAATAAACTACAGACATGTGATAAGTAGGATAAGATATACGACACATACGCTCATATAAAAGCATTCAGGGTTAATAAGTGAATAATTAACAAGAATAATACGTGGCTCTAGAAGAATGGATAGGCTGATCTGTCCAGAAGCTTGAATAAGGTATATGGGCTTAACATAGTAACGGACACAACAATACTTCATACTTTGATGGCAAAATGTTTTAGTTGTACCTTGAATTATGTTTTGAAATCGACTACATTACTCATAAATTAAAGAATAAACTGTTCCTTAGACAATAATACTTCATCAAAAACGAAAAAAATCGTATTTTTTTGTTCCCTTAGTAGTTTACAAACACATTGTGTTTTTTTTTACTTGGAAAATAAAGAATCTATCCATCGGATGACAAAACACTTATATGCAAGTTTGTCTAATATTAAAAAATATGAAAATAGATTCCATGAATAGTGAAATGGATCTGACATGAAAATAAACTGGTCAATGTTTTCCGCTTCATTAACATATCTACAAAATTTGCTTAGAATGCAAATCCGATACATGATATCTCAATCAGTCTTACATTCCATTTATAGAAAGCCAACTAATTGTACATCCTTGATTCAGATTCATTAACATATTGGAGCATTTTATGGACATGACATGGTTTTCAAGAAAATGATTTAACTAACTCGTAAGAATTAACGTGGCCTATAAATATCATTGATTTTAAAAGCCAAATATATGCAACTATGATACAATGAAATGGCATTGTCATTTATTTAAATATAACAATCCATTAATTAAATGTTTAAATGAACACAAACTCTAATGACTGACACTAGCATTTAATGTTTCATTTGAACAAGATTTTCAGTTCTAAACTGAACTAAAAGTACTTCATGTTCTAGAATACAACACATATATAATGAAGCCCAATGCTTTTCTCCTGATAAATATATGTATTGACTGATAGATAGTCGTTTTAAATCAGACTAATATTGTAGCTAAACACGTTTCCACAGAGGACAAAACTATAGATATATCAAGCTATATTTACCCTAGTTCTGAATATTAGTATAGTTTCTGAATAAAATATCTTGCTTTCAGTATACACCTATTGTTTATTAGTAATCATCGGAATAGTCTAATATTATTAAATATATAGATCTTTCACAAAATCAGATATAGATTTATTATATAACATTTTCAATGGTTGGGATCATGAGTCAATTAAAGCTAGACCACTATGGAAAACCAGGAAGCACTGGACTGCCGTTTTGCTCTAGTGTAGGACTCCTCAGCAGTACGTATTCACAACCACACCTCGTGGAATTTGAACCCACGACCTATCAGTCACGCGCACGAGCGCTTAACCACTAAACCACTGAGATAGCTGGCATCCAACGGTGTTAATGTTCGACTGGAACTAATCCGTGAAGTTGAGCGACACATCCACCATTGTCATCACTGAGTTACTATCTCACATCTTCATAAATCCAATTATAGTGATAATGGGTTAGTGATTTACTATTTACATATAATGATAAAAAAACAGATATATTCGGTCACTTAGTAAAATGATATTGAATTTGTATACTTAGAACCAATAAACTTGTTTGTCTGGTGATTTAAAAGAAATAGAATCAACATCAATTGGGTTGTTTGGTTATATTAACTCAATTGCTTAGTATTCATTAATACATTTAATGCTAGAAAACATAGAATTTATTGACTATGTTTTGTGACTTATACAATCTTTTATGTATCATATATTTATCTTACTAATTTAGCTGATGTTACATTTTCACAAAACACTTGGTTTATATCATTTGATGGCTTACGTGACTTTAAATATGAAATTGCAAAAATGCATTTTCACTGGGGTAATACTGATGATCGTGGATCTGAGCATACTATTGATGGAATTAGATTTCCTTTAGAAGTAAGTCTGTACGTAAATTATTGTCATTTGACTTTAACATTCTTTTTCACATACATCAAGAGTGAAGACAGCACATTATGAATGTTTTGATATTGCGAATTGCTGATGAACGATTTTAAGATGTGATCATATATCTCTAAGAACCAGATTGATAATTGTTCATGAAGATCTAATGAGTCAAGTGAATTAAAAAGTATATTCCTTTGTGCGAAATGACACAATTATGTGCAACAGCCTAATCACGAAACATATCCGATCATGGTCTATTGAGAATATAAACAAATAAAGGTTATAAGTAATTAGGTTTCTTCACCCACGAATAAACGTGAAAAAAATGGCAACTAGCCTTCATTCTTATCAGTCATGTTTAAATATACTGTTTTTATTCTTAACACTAATTGTAGGGACATATTGTATCGTTTCGAAAAGAGATGTATTCTTCACTCCAGGAAGCTATCGGTCGACCAGGTGGACTTGCTGTTCTTGGTATCATGCATAACATTGTTGAATCAATAAAATCTGACCAAACAGTGTTCAAGGCATATAACAGTTTTTCTGGTGTATTGAATTCACAATTCGCTCCTCCAAATGCTTTGACAGTTGATAATATGAATTTATCGCTAATTCTAAGCTTCTTGAATCCTAGTCGTTATTTTCGCTATTTTGGTTCACTGACAACTCCACCATGCACAGAAAATGTTCTTTGGACTGTTTTTATGGATCCAGTGCCAATTACACGTGAACAGGTAATCATAATTCTACGTTAACGGAATAAATTCGAGTTTCTCCGTTTTCAAATGAACCAGACAATACTTAAATCAAATTCAGTACATTGAAATAGATGTAATATTATGTTATTCTGCCATAAATTTATTGACATAAATTAATCAATAACTAATTAGTAACGTCATCCTGTTAATCTCAACTCTTTCGAACATGTTTCAATGTACTCACTAGTTTGATTCACTCAACATTAGTGTGTTTTTTCTATGCTGTTCAAGGTTGACAGTAACCGATGGAGGTACTGGAATACTTATTTTGTGATAGTTGATACAGATTACCTAAGTTTATTCAAAATCATCTGATAATTAGTGTAGTGATCTGTATTTATTACGTGTTTGGATTTCAGTAAACTAGTACGTTCTGCTTTGAATCGTGAATATATTCACCTTATTTGAAACAATGCCTGAGAAGCAGAAACATCCCACGAACCATTATATACTGAGAAAGAGCCAACCGTCACCTAGTACAGTGACTTACTTATGTCATCCAAATTCAAACAAATTAGTCTAGATGATTAATTAAACGTAGAACAAATTAAACTTCACTTCGTAAACAAACATATACAAAGAATATAGAAAACAATCAACAAATATTTTGTTATAATCAGACAAGGGTTTTGTGAAGATTGTAGTAATTTCACAATTGAATTCATTAGTCTATTGAAGCTAGACCACCATGGAAAACCTGGAAGCACTGGATGGCCGTCTCATCCTAGTATGAAACTCCTCAGAAGTGCGAGACTGATAGATCCTGGTTTCAAATCTGGCGGTACGGGATTGTGGATGCGCTTCAGTTAACTCATGAATTCAATTATTAAAATATTCTGTTGTTCAGTTTGCAAGAATATCAGTGTTCCGTAATAGATGGTGAAATCCTTACGAGAGTGGAGATTCCTATGAAGTATCAAATAAATTATATTTTATGATTGATAAAAGTACAAGACCCGTTTCCACTCTTCTAGAAAATTAATTTTTAATTTTCAGTACTTAGCAACAAAAAAATCAATTAGATTTATGAATGCTTCAACGATATAAATATAATTAAATCTATGAGATTCATTATATTGCGATCACCCAATGAATCATTTCATTCCAAAAATGCAGTGAATACGTTTCATGCAAACAACATTAAAATCTTAGTAATTTAAAGATCTTCAAAGGATGTTCAGGAACATGGAGCACTAAAGTGGATGGTAATTTTCGGTCACTTCTTTCTTAGATTCGACAGTAATATAACTTAAAATTATGAAATAAAATACAAAATATTAAAGTTTAATTAATTCTTATATCATAAATTGAAAATGTCATTTTCTTATAGAAAGAAAACAATCATTTGCCCTAATACTGTTTATTTTATTCGTCAAATCATGTTTTTGTTATACCATTACCGACATTATTATCGTCACTTACAATATACTCTCTTAAATAGACTAATTCTCACAGTTAACGCTAGAATAAAGTTTGCCTTATATATTAGCAAATCTTAAACAATCTAAGCATTGAGATAAATGTGTAACAGTTCATATATTCACATTTGATGTCCGGTTATTAAGAGAGTATAAACATGATGACAGTTAAAAGAATTAATTTAGCAGTATGAGCAAAGATAGATCGTGGTGGGCAGTGAAATTCAGGGTGCGCGTTTCGTCCTATCTGGCACTCGTCAACTGGATATGCCAGCATCACAGAGTTGTTGTTCACTTTGACACTCGAACCCAGTATCAGGACTCAATATCTAAGTGAATAATACGAAGGCGTTTGAAGTGAATGGTATTGGGTTTGAGTCCCGGAGTAAACATTAACTATCGGGTGCAGGTACTCCCAGTTAATTAGTCCCAGATAAGGATTAAACACGCGTCCTAGCTTCCACTACCATCCACCATCCATTTCTGCTTATAATGCTTATGATTTAAGGCAATATTGAGGCAATCCGAACAGGATGAACATATACCAATAAGAGACTGATCAATCGCAGTCTTGAACATCAATGGGAAGATTCAAATAAACAGTACAATATAAATTTAATATAGTAGTGTTATTTATTATATTACAAAATTAAGCAGAGTGAATTCAGTTGAGAAACCGTAAATAAAATGGAAAACGTTCAAAGTATGATATGATTATAAAGCATGTGAAAAAGATAAAAACTAAATAAATACATGCCATTTTATTTATCCTTGAGTCATATCATTTAAAGCTTTCATCTGCTAATATCTGCAATTGTATAAAGTCTAATTAGGAAATCTGCAGTTCCCAATTTGTCTTAATCACTAGCCTCATAGACTTATTATAACCAAATCGCAACCCATACATGTGTTGTTTATCATTTAATTATTAAAGGGATTTACACCTTAATCTTGGCTGAACGTGTAAATAAACTTCTCAACATGTTTTATTACATTAGTATTTATTAGTGTTTGAATAATATTTGTATTATACTGTATATGACTTTTTCCAGGTTAATCTATTTCGTAGTTTACCTTATGGTCCAAATGAAAAACAAACTACTATGGGTGATAATTTTCGTCCTATTCAACCATTAAATCCACCCGATACACTTGCACCACGTTCTCTGTATCGAGCTACAGCATCAAGTCTTTCATTATTATCTTTACCAGGTTTATTATCTATCATGTTGACCAGTCAACTTACTGTGATATTTTCTTAATTCATTTAATTCAAAACTATTTATGTCTGAGATATTTAGCTTCTTCTAGACCCAAATTATTGCGCTTTCATTCTATGAATTAAAAACAAAAAGAGGATACTTACCCATACTACTTTATAGAGTAAATTTTCTTATTTTATTTTTCTTCTTTGTTTTTTTTTCTTCTAAATTTCTCATATTTTGTAAATAACTTAGTTGGTCATATTCCAAAACATTTTGAAGACGTGTTATATTTGGCTTGATTTCACATCATAATGTTTATTTTATTAGATTAATATGATTATGCCATATATGTATCTGTAAGAGTTCCTTGGTCAATAGCCTCATTAGTTACTGTCCACTACTTCTAGCTCTTAATTAGTTGGTTATTATTTTCCTTTACAAGATTCAAGATGAAGTAGAAAAAAATATTATGTATTCATGATTCATTCATTGTAGTTAATTATCAATGAATAATAAAAAAGAAACGACATTTCATCTAATGACTTTATTCTGTTGAGATTTTGTAATTCTCTTTTATTTTTACCTGAAATTTGGTTACGAAGCATATTGTAAGCCAATACAATAGGTAGGAGGAAAGTATATTTATTGTAAAAAGTTACAATTTATTTACACAATAATTATACATAGCCATCATTCGTCCATTGGCATCTTTCAGTATGTTCTGGAATCTCAAATGTTTTCTCGAGTGGTCTCGAATTATCTGACAATATTTGGCTTTCAATGCACTGAAACATTTCACTTTGATGTCATGTTCCGCTACACACTACTTGATATCAATCTTGTGAGTAGCGTTCACTACAACACAATTAAAGATATAAAATGCAACAAATTTACTGAGATCGTATAGAGTAACAATTCTCTAAATGAAGATCATATTTTTTACGAGTATGAAGAACTGTACTGTTATAATTTTAGTATTCTTACTGGTAGTGTACACATAAGGCCTAAAATCGAACTTACTCGAGAACCTTCACATTAAATGGTAATAATGGTACTTCTATACCGATTCGTTCAAATCTAGTCTGTAAGATTTCCAAATTTAGGTGATTTGCTATGTAAATGTGATAGCTTACTACTTTTCAAGATCGTCCCCATGGCAAATCCAAGACTCTTGAGTGAAAATGTGAGTGTGGATCATTGAATCTTGCCTCGAGGATTTGAAGATATTTTGATCTCCAAGACACTTAAAGAAATGTACAGTTGTAGACGAGCGCAATAAACAACTTCATATCTGACGGTAGACTTCAAGTACAAAAACTCTCACTTTGCAAAAGTTTTAATAATTGTTTCGGAGAACAAGGTTTTGAACATGCTCGCTATATTGAAGTGAACTCAATCTTATCATTTCTATATGTAAATATTTTTATCTCCAGGTTTAACCGATTACCCTGTTTTATGCGTGGGCATATGATTCTCGTTTCACTTTATGTCAAGAAATGGTTCTTTCTGTATTTTAGCCAAAACTTTAAGTGCCATCAAGAACTGAAATTATAGCCAATACACATCAACGGTTCTTTATAAAGTGTTACCTGTGAGTCTGGGATTGATCATACTAATTTTAGACTACCTAACAGGAATCAGTCAATTCACAGTTATAAATTCATTCATTTCGCAATCGCCTATGCAATCAGTGTTACATGATGTAAGTATTTCACTTAAAGTTTACTGTTCTTACGATTTATCTGAAGTATTATAGCTAGAGATTGATTTATAAAACCGCCTGTAGAATATAAAACCTTGATATTAATGTATAAAGGTTACGAAGAAACAATAAGCATTTCAAAGCGACACATAGTGAACACATGAACTATGAAATAAACATAAGAACCACTGAAAGACGATATGTGCTGATCAACCATTTTATTTAAGTATGTCTTCTTAATGGTAGTATTCATTCGCGATCCTAAAGACGTTGGTTGTGATTCCAATTTCTGACTACTTCGGGATCTCATTTGAATCAAAATCAACATATAATTGACGTGTCGCTCATTGCTACTGAAGAACGAGTTAACCTGTTGTTATGTAATTATTCAAATCATCCAATAAATTAAAGGTCATTTACAGAAGACGGGTTTAATTTACTCTGTATATTTTCGAGTTAATCAAGTAGCACCGGTAGGATAGTACATACATTTTCCATGTAATATATACGAGTTTCATTGGATCACAATTACAGAAATAAAAAATATATCACAGGAATGTTCTGTATTATCCGCGTATATAGAGCTATTACGTTGAAAAGAAAAAGTCGCCACAAAAAACTGTCAACTATCGAAAACACATTTTTCCTTCATTTTAAATGTACTTGTTACGTACAATAACTTTTTCCATTTGTAATTTAGTATCTAATTATATCGAGATATGCATGAAATATTTCAGTAACAGATGCTTTGTGAGAGTTGTTAAAGAATACATTATTTCTATAGTAGTATTCCTTGATGTAAGAAGACAGAGTAGTCACCGCAACCCTTAAACACGGATTTTATGCTAGTTTTGTACTAATCAGTAAATTTTGTCTGAAATTTTAGAAAAAAAATGCTCCTGTACTAATAGAAAGTTATTTCCCTCAGTATCGTTTTCACTAAGTATAACACTCAACGATTACAACTAATTAACCATGAAGTCGTAATTAATGCCATGTCTAATAACCAGTGCTGTTTGTATTTTCGCACTGAATTAGTCTCCACTTTACTGAATACTGAATTTCATTTGATTATACTACCACGGAAAGTTCGTAAGTATTCGAGTACTGAGTAACAAATTTATAGGATGAGAATTAAGCCAACCGGTGATATACGAAGGAGATAAACCTTTTAGTTAACATTTGTAAACACTATGGAGAGGGAAAACACAATAATCAAAAAATACAACTACATACAAAATCTCACTATAAACCATAGTTACGATAGTCTGGCATTAGAGCATTATCAGTTTGCAGCAAACAAAACTGCTTTTCCTCAGAAATAGTCAAAGCCTACGTAAATGAACCCAAACTAAGAGTGAACATGATACTATAAGACCATATGGCAAGAATATTAGCATTGAGGCTAATACACCAATGAGCACCGATGGATAGTGACTAGCAGTGAGATCCAAGATGAGCGTTTCGTCTTATTTGGAACTCGTCAACTGAGTTTGCCTGCATCCCTTATTTGTTGTTCACTCCGACGTTCGAACCCACGACCCTTCGCTCCAAACGTCATCGCGTTATCAATTTAGCTACTGAGTCCAGATAGCCACTATCTTATGCAACGAGTTGAAGTTTAATTCATTTTTGTATTGGTTGTTTTAATCTTCCTACCAATGTCTAGGAATGAGATTGATCAGCCTCTTATTGACATATGCTCATCCTTTTCGAATTGCCTCAATTTCGTCTTAAGTCACAAGTAGATACATCCACGTAACGAGTCGCAAATAGGACAAAACGAGCATCTTGAATTCCACTGCTTATAATGCTAGTGACTTAATGCAATCCGAACAGGATATACATATGTCAATAAGAGATTGATCAATTGCAGTCCTAAATATCAATGGGAACATTTCAACAACCAATTCAAAAACGAACGAACATATCAATACTCAAAATAAACATGTCAAATACAGAACAATTAGTTATTGATATAATTTAGTTTTTTAAATGATAATGATTGACATATATCTTATGTAATTGATTCCCCTTTTCTTAACAATACATTCATAGAATATCTAGAAATCAAAGAAAATTTAATAATCTAACTCATATTGTAAATTAATTACGATAAAATGAAAAGAAGAAAAAACAATTTGGTTGAAATATAATTTTGACTTAGTAACTAAAAAAACTGATGCATTTCATTATTTTGTAAACATTAACAATAGAATAAATTGAATAATATAGAATTCAATGAATCAAGTTAACCAATGGATAGTAAATAACAATATGATACAATTGATTTTGATTAATCAGTAACAAATCAAGTATCGAATAATTTAACATTAAACATCCCTTGATTCAATAATATTCGTTACATTTATATGTTCTAACCATGAATTCAATGAGGTTAGTTTTTGACTTTTACATGAATGTCTACTCAAAAATGTAATATTCACTTAATTGCATAATCACAAATTGCTAAACTATCTTTTGTTGAGCTCATAAAATTTCTCAGGATAAAAAAAAACAAAAATATAAGGTGGGATTATAATTTATGGACGACCTTTGAAGCCATGAGCACGTCCACCTATTACTTACTTACTTACTTACGCCTGTTACTCCCAATGGAGCATAGACTGGCGACTAGCATTCTCCAACCAACTCAGTCCTGGGCCTTCCTATCTAGTTCTATCCAATTTTTGTTCGTCTTTCTTATGTCTGTCTTTATTTCTCGACCTAATGTGTTCTTTGGTCTTCCTCTTCTCTTTTGGCCTTCAGGATTCCATGTGAGAGCTTGCATTGTAACGCAGTTGTGTGCTTTTCTCAATGTGCGTCTCATCCACTTCCAGAACTTCCTCCTGATTTCTTCCTCTTCTGTGATCTGGTTTGTTCTCTCGCATAGCAGGTTGTTGCTGATAGTGTCTGGCCAACGGATCCGAAGTATTTTGCGTAGACAACTGTTAATAAACACTTGTATCTTCTAGATGATAGCTTTCGTAGTTCTCCAAACTTCCTCCCCACACAGTAGAACTGTTTTGACATTTTTATTGAAAATTCTGACACTGGCGTTGGTTGACAGACAGTTGTTTTGAGTTCCGTATGTTCTTCAGTTGTAAATATACTGCTCTTGCTTTACCGATCCGCGCTTTCACATCTGCAACAGATCCACCCTGTTCATCAATGATGCTGCCCAAATATGTAAAGGTTTTTACATCTTCCATATCTTCTACGTCAATTGTGACTCGGTTTTTGCATGTTGTGTTGTATCGGAGAATTTTGCTTTTCCCTTTATGTATGTTGAGACCTACTGCTGCTGAGGCTGCTGCTACACTGGTCGTCTTCTCCTGCATTTGTTGTTGCGTTT